TCAGCCGACTAGACCATAACAAATTCAATGGTGTGGTACCTGATAGTATCGGTAACCTGACTAGCCTGATGGAACTGTAAGTAGCTATCAACAAGGAACAACTAATGTTTCTTCTTCCTTCCAAATGATGTAGCAAATATTTCTTTGGTTATTCCAGGAGCCTAGCAAGTAACCAACTGAACGGGTCGGTGCCAGACCTCACAAATGCAACTAATCTCACTTATGTGTAAGACACAAAAGATATCAATGCTTAAGTTTAATGATTCTTCTGTTGTCTCAACACAATTTTCTCCCCGGACAGGGACATGAGCTACAATAGTTTTGCAAGCTCAGGAGCACCAGGATGGCTTTCGACGTCGACGGCCCTGAACACCTTGTGAGTTGTAGGAGGATTAGCGAAGTGAACATTAAATGGGTTTAGTAAGGGAAAAGGCCTAGGTATAGTGGTATACTGAAGGGTGAGTGCACAAACTATATCAGCCATAAATAGAACCTTCAGGTCTATGCACACTCTTGCAATGTGTGAAAAGATCTTGAGGCTGTATCCATGACTGATATAGTATTTGCAATGGCTCTTGAGTGTACAAAATCCACCCCCGTGAATAAGCTAGATGATTCTGAATAACGTTTTTTCTCTGGTTGGATAATTACAGATTCATGGCTGGTATCCGTCTTACTGGGACAGTACCCAATGCTCTTTTCAGCCTCCCACAGATGCAGAGAATGTAATTTCCTCAAGACCTCACGTGCTTTATTTACATTTAATTTGCATTGTTTTAGCTGCAAATAGACCCTTACTTGACGTCTAATTAAACCTTAATGTACCAACAATTTTATGTCTTCTGATGTTGTAACTGGTATTTTAATGCAGATCACTAGCTGAGAATGCCCTTGGAATCTCACTGACTATGACTGGTATCAACTCAAAACTGCGGGTTGTTAATTTGACAAATAATCAAATCATCAATATTATTACAGTTGACCCAAGCTACACTGGCAGCCTAATGTAAGTATCACCCCATACGGTATACTGTACAACTATGTGGCATGTGTCTCACCCATCTTTTCTGTTCTCATCCAGACTAACAGGGAATCCTGCATGCTCAGCCAATATCAGTTTCTGCAAACTCAAGGAAAGGCAGCAAGATCCATACTCTACTAGCCTAGGCCCCTGCGGTGCTATTTCTTGCCCTATTGGTCAGTTACCAAATCCAGAGACTTCACAGAACTGCGCTTGCACTACCCCCTTCGAGGGTGTGATGACCTTCCAAGCACCTGCCTTCTCTGACATGACAAGCCCCGAGTCATTCCAACAATTGGAGTCGACGCTTATACAGAACCTTAGCCTAGCTCCAAGATCAGTTGCACTTTCCAATGTTGACTTCAGCCCAGGAACTCCTCTAAGATTCAGATTGAAGTTTTTTCCAGACAGTGAAATGGGCTTCAATCGCTCAGAAGTTATAAGAATCAGTTCTGCTTTGGCCAACCAAATTTATAAAGCTCCAACTCAATTTGGACCATATTACTTCACAGCAATCCCATACTTTGCAAGTATGCACACTGCATAGAATTATATTCTCTTTTATTTGATATGTCTCCAAGTCTTACGTAACTTGTCCATTTCAGTCCCAAGCGGGAAAAAATCCTCAATGCGCAAAGGTGTAATAATTGGAATAGCAATTGCTGGCTTTGTCCTTATTGTCGGTCTTGTTCTGGTAGCAATATATGCTCTACGGCAGAAGAAAATAGCCAAGGAGGCAGTACAGCGGACTACTAATCCATTTGGTAATCATTTATTTTGTCGCATCCATAAATAAATATCCAACTTGAATAAGCTAGTAATTTTTAGTTCTCTACACATGGCAGAAAAAAAAGCAAGATAATCATAAGCATTTAAAAGTGTCATAACATGTTTGCTTGATCTTGTTAATATTTTGATACCACAGCATCATGGGGAGCAGGTGGTAAAGATAACGGAGACGTACCACAATTGAAAGGAGCAAGATATTTTGTATTTGAGGAGCTGAAGAAATGCACCAATAATTTCTCAGAAACTCATGAGATAGGATCTGGAGGATATGGAAAGGTAACTGATTTCTTTGCTCACATATCTAGACA